TGGGGGCTCATCCACGGGCAGCTTCATTCACCCCTAGAGCATCACAGAGCCAGGGGCTCTGGGCCATGCACCTGTCTGCGTGAGATATGCCCATCTGGCTGGGATATCCCTGCTGGGAACAGCCAGCCCCTCTCCACCAGCCTGGACACAGACCTGGGTATCCAACATGGCCGCCTTGCACCTCTACCCTCCGGGATGGTAGAATCCCACCAGGGCATCCAGCTCTCAGTCTGCCCAGAGGGGGCGGGATTTCCAGACAACCTGAGCCCTCCCTATCTGCCAACGGCTCCATAAATACAAGGGGCTGAGACATTAGAAATGGAGAAGTGACAGGAAAGAATCACATCCTGGCCACCTTCTCACCCCCACATCCCAGCCCCATATTGTATCTGAAGGAAGCCATCCCCACCCCTTAGCCCGGCTCTCACTTATTTCAGTGGGGAGCCCGTCAGGATCCTGACGTGAAGCAAGAGGCTCTGGAGAGAGAACACAGGTCAGCTCTGAATAAATTGAATTCTGGGCACTGCCATGTCCCAGCTGACCCCTCTCCTTTGCTGCTCCCCACAGATCCCCCTCCCCAGCCAGTGCTGAGGCTGGATCCCCCTTCTGGAGCAGTGAGTGAAGGACTCCCCCTGCTCATCATCTGTGCGGTCTCCAGAGATGCCAGAGAGTGGAGATTTCACTTCTACAAGGACGGAGTCGAGATCAACACCACGGAGCCTGGCATCGGCTCTGTGAATGTCTCTGTGCTCAGCATCCTACAGGCCGGTCCCAACAACACTGGGGAATTCACCTGTGGGTATGAGGAGAACGTGAGCGGGAGGTGGATCCCGTCCCCCAGGAGCCGGGCTGTGAACGTCAGTGTGAATGTCACCGGGACAGGTCAGACTTCCCTAATTTCTTAATTCACCTCCCTGTGTTAGTCCCATTCGAGGAGAACCATCCCCAGGAGCTCTCCTGGGAAAGGGAGGTCGGATGAGGTGACAGATGTCAAATGGGGATAGAAAACAAACTAGAAATGAAAACCCCGCTTCTCCTCCCAGGTCCTTTCTATCTATGACACTTCCATGGCCCAAGTATCTGAGCCCCTCACAATGTTGTTAATAGATTTAGCCCAGAGGTGGGCAAACTATGGCCCGCGGGACCGTTCTCCCCGGCCCCTGAGCTCCTGGCCTGAGAGGCTAGCCCCAGCCCCAGCCCCTCCCCTGCTCCCTTATCCCTCCCCTGTTCCCCCGCCCCTACAGCCTCAGCTTGCTCGCTCCGCCGCTGCCATCGCCATGCCGTCGCCGTTGCCCAACCCCTCATTTAGCCCTTCGGTGCCCAATTTAGAGATGGGGAATGGAGGCAAGAAGAGGGTAAGTCCCACAGGGAGCCTGCAGGAGAACAGGGAATTGAACTCCAATATCCAATACCCAACGCCAACCCCATAACCACTGAACCATCCTTCCCCTCTTTGGAACAAGGCTATTACAGACTGAACGTGCCATAGACAACAGTGAACAGTGGTTAGAAAGCCCTTGCACCAAAATCTGACTTCTTTGTGGGTCTCAGAACTTTTCTCAGGGATGTCTGACTGTTCTCATGGCCTCTTCCCTCTCTTTTTTTATTCTGCTGCGTGAACAGCCTCTTACAGTACCCGTGATATTCTGCTGACAACAGGTGGCCTCTTGTTTCTGGTTGGAGCCATTGCTGCTCTCATCTGTTATTGCAGGAGGAAGAAAAGAGGTGAGTGAAAGGGGGAGACACACTGTGATCGCCCACCTGCTCCCGCGATATGGTCTTGCCAATAACTATTCTGTAGTGATCAGCGTAAATAGTTTTAAACTATTAACAACCGCAAAGCAACGGGCCATGGTGTGGGCATGGAAACCAAATCTGAACTGTGCCTGGCAAATGAGGTATGTACCTTTCAATGAGAAGGCAGTGTTTACAAAGAAGATAGAGATGTAAAAATATTTATGGGTTTTCAAATGTATCTTGGTACGTATTTATTTTAATAACACATGTTGTCAAATAACCAACTCAGCTGAAGTTTGATTTAAGACAATGAATCAATCCTTAATACTGCAGTCTATAGAGAAAAGAAAGAAAACGTACAAACCCTCTGAGCCTGGAGAAGTGTTGGCAGCTTACTTCACTTCTAACTCACTCCCCCAAAGTCACACCTTATATACTGGTTTAAAACAAAGAAAATCCTTTCTTGTGTTTTGATTTTTTTTTAATTAATAAGCGAGTGACACCTGTGATGAGGGGGAGGGATAGCTCGGTGGTTTGAGCATTTGGCCTGCTAAACCCAGGGTTGTGAGCTCAATCCTTGAGGGGGCCATTTAGGGAACTAGGGTAAAAAATTGTCTGAGGATTGGTCCTGCTTTGAGCAGGGGGTTGGACTAGATGACGACCTGAGGTCCCTTTCAACCCTGATCTATTGCTACTGGGACTGTCTATCACCACAATTTGCTCTTAATGACTTGGACATTAATCAATACATTATTTAATGGTTTGCAGTTTGATTATAGAATACATGTGTTATAACAAATATTCCCTGTAAATGTTGGTAACTAGTAATATTTTATGAACCACAGTGAGCATTTATAAGCATCCCTTATAAACTACACCAGTTAGTCC